TTTAACATTGATTCTTTTCTTTTTAATGGATAGAGTGAAAAAGTGCAGTTCTATGTGAAGGCCCAGCCCTGCGAGCTCAGAAGTGGTTGGCAGGGCCCTCCCGGCATCTCTCTCCCCATCCCAAATACAAGTAAATCCTAGAAGCTCAGAAAGCTTTCACAAGTAGGCCTGTGAGATGCAACCTCCCGTGTCACTGTTCTGTAGGAAATTTCCGTGGATGTCAGACAAATGGGAATTCTCAGTCATAATACATTTCTGATTTGTTATTGCTTCAAGGGCTCTGCAAATTTACATTCCCCTCAGTTAGAGAGACAATAGGTAAGATAAGAAAAGAATAACTTTTTACAATATAAAAATTCCTTCTGCACATTTTGGCTTAAGAAGGTTATGAATTGAGGAAATCTGTACTGGGAAGATGCCTGGACACCAAGGAGCAGAAGCCCAAGGCCCAGGGCTCTGCTGTAGACCAGGAAGAAACTTGCCTCCAAACTCCCTGCCACCCTGTACGCTGTCTCTTCTGTACTATTCTTTTTTTAGGTCAGATATTTGTGTGGGAAGATTAATTCATATTTATTTGTTTTCCTTTCTCTCTCTCCTTATTAACACATTGGGACTCCTATTTCGGCATTTAGCATTCCTCTTTAAATCTGTTACATGGAGATTTAACTATGTCTACCTATGGGGCTAGCTGTATTAGGAGATTAAGGCCACTGTAATAAATATTTTAAAATGGCATTGGAATAATAATTGTAGTATAGATTGCTCTTAAAGCTGACTTCAGAATAATTGCTAATATTAATGTCATTTACAAAATCATTAAATGGTTTTATAATGGGTACTGTTACATAGGCAAAATTTTATAAAATTAAGCCTAATGTATCCATTCTGAAGAGTTTTAATCACAAAGGCATCACTAGGCCTCCTCTGTCTTGAGATTGGGATTCATATAAATGGAGACTAAGGAACCATCTGTGTTTAACCAGAGCATTCACCAGACTGAGGCAGACTCTGTATGGACACTAAGTCCCTTCGGGGTCTGTTGCATCCCCCACTTAGGGATGTCTTGGCTATTGTCTGACCATCCTCCTGGCCCACGCTGGATGACCACTCCTCATCTAACCATCCTCCTGGGCCACACTGGATGACCGCTCCTCCTCTGACCATCCTCCCAGCCCATGCTGGATGACTGCTCCTCATCTGACCGTCCTCCTGGCCCATGCTGGATGACCTCTCCTCACCTAACCATCTTGCTGGCCCATGCTGGATGACCACTCCTCATCTGACCATCCTCCTGGCCCATGCTGGATGACCACTCCTCCTCACCTAACTGCCAGTTTGATCTAACAAGCATGTCCTTCTTTTCAATCCCTTTTGCAAACTCTTGGAATTAGCTTTTTACACACATTGTCCTGTGGTAACCCTGATGGTTCCTCACTTAATTGGCTTCTAGAGTTTTTGGACTATGGTGTCCTGTGAAGAGAGTGAGACCTGTTACCTGTGGTGGCCCTCCACGTGAGAGGTTTTGTTGTGTCCTGGCCCACTAGTAGATGAAGTTTCCCAGTGAAATTATGTGGGACAGTCTTCACCCCCAGGGGATTGTTTTGGTTCTGGGAATGTGGGTTGGAAAGGGTAAGGTGGGAGGGAGAAATCAACTAAATCCTCCCACTCCTGGGATCAGGGGAATCTTCCTGGCTGCTACATTTTCAAGACTTTGTCTTTCACTTCTCAACAGAGAAACACAACCCTTGGGACTGATCGTTCTTCCTCATACAATTCACTTTTCCTGCTTCCTGGTAAACATCTCTGGAGTGGAAGGGTGGATTTTCCCCCTGCTTGCTCTATAACATCATCAACGGCAGAGAATGTAGGTTTCACAGTTGTTCAGTTTTCAGATGACGTGACCTTGATGAATACTGGGTGAAAAGGAACTGCTCCCGCTCTGGAGGGAGAATGCCGTTAAGCTCCCACGTCCACGGGAGACAAGGAGGCCAGCCCATCTGTTATTTTGTAGAGTTTTTTTGGTGGTGGTTATGTGTGATTTATTTTTCTTTCAGCTTTTAAAGTTCCATAGAGAAATCACTGGGCATTTTCTGCCTAGTGGCATGGAAAGGTTTTTAAATCTAAACAACGCCGGGAGGACTGAAGAGCAGGTTTATTTGGCAAAGGAGGGACTCTGTGAGCCATCAAAAGAGGACCCGGCAACGCTGCCCTGGCACAGATTTGTGCTGCGCCGATGAACTGAGCCTGACCAAATCACTGCTGCCAGCAGCTGCTGGCTAATTTGTTTTTCAGTATCGTACTCTGCGTGGAGTTCATTAAAAGTCTGGGTGCACTTAAAGGGGCGCAGCGTCTAGAGGAGTTAGTGAAGGTTAGGGGTGCAGCCAAGTGATTTATATTTAAAGGCAGGGATGCTTTGCAAAGCAGGAGAGGCCTTTCTGGCTCAGGCTAGATCTGTCCTTATACCTGGCTGAGATCATATCCTTGCCCTCCACTCCCCCAGCTCGGCCCACATGGCGCGTGTCTGCAGGGGTCAGACTCCGTGGTGCTCATCCCCCACATCTCCCTATTCTAATCCAGCCTGTATTCCCATCCAATATGGGGGTTGAATGCTTTGCAATTCAAAGTGCTTTCATACACACTATTTAATTTCTTGTGTAAGAAACATCCTCCGCTCGCTCCTGCCTTGTGTTACCAGTGTAAACACTTGAGCCTACCGGCCTCGGAGGATGCTGGGTTATGTTCACAGCCATGGCCCCTCCATGGCCCTTTCGTTGCAGTTGAATCCCCCCTCATCTCTGCACTGGGTCCCCTTCATGGCCCTTCCGTTGCAGGTGAATCCCCCCTCTCCTCTCCACTGGGCCTGTGTGGTCCTCACCCCATGTCCCTGTCCTTGATGGTCTCCATCTCTTGACTGCTTTCTTACCTCTTCCTAATATCTACACTTCCCAGAAATTTTTTTCTTTGATTAGGTAAACACTCTTCATACTCTAGTAAGATGGATTTTAGGACTGCCAAGATTTTCAGAAGTCTAGAATCAACCCATTTGTGCGAACCTTACTCTCACAGGAACTTTGCTAAGAACTTCCACATATATGTCCTATTTGCACCGCTTACCAGCCCTTCAAGGTGGATGTTATCATCTTCAGTTTCCAGGCGAGGAAACAAAGGTTCAGACAGCATGAACAGCTCAGACCCATGCAGCTCCTGAAAGGCAGAGCCTAAGATCAAGCACAGATTTCCTTCCTCCTAGTCCAGGGTTCCTTCCACAGTTTCCAGGTACTACAGCTGTTACCTGGTGACTGTGGTGGTTGTTGTTACTGGCTGGTTGCTCACTGTTGTTTTTAATTCATCCTGTCATGCCAATTTAGATGGTTAGATAGGACATTCCTTATTTCCCTGATGCTGTCCAGCGCTTATTCCAGGGCTCCGGGCGTACAGAACACTCAACAAATGGACATTGACTTAATTTATTTGTCAAAATGCACAGATCTTTGCCTTGACACATTTTGCTGTTATTTCTGGGAGACATTTCAGTCCTTCTGACCTGAGTCCATTGAGTGGCTTCTGTTCACAGCCATCACAGGGGACAAATGCCTGGCATGGGGTAGAAGTGGTTGGTATGGGTGGTGATCATGTCACCAGCAAAACTAGGCCAGCCAGTCCCTCAGTCCCATTCTGCCATCCTCCGAAACTGGGCTGCACTGTGACCCGGCACCTCAGGAATTTGTGGTGTATAGATCATCCCACGTCCTTTGAGATTCTTCTCTCTGGTGGCCCTGGGCAATTCTATGTACCCATTTCACAATGTTAATTAGGAAGCTTAGTAGTCACTGCTGTGGATAAAAGGACCATCCATGCAGTTAGGATGCCAGTGTCACGCCAACCTAGTGTGAAATGCCCATCTACAGCACACACAGCATGGTCTTCTAGGCTCCCCAGGCATTTGAATCATGTAAACTGATGGTGGTTTGAATCATGTAAACTGATGTTGAATGTGGGAAATTTGACCCTGGGCTGGTGTGGGCTTGTTAGTTGTTTTCTCTGGGTATAGATGTATGTCAGTTGTAAAGCAACAGATGAGACAGCTAGTTAGTGTTTCTATACTGTCTCTCCTGACAGTTGTTACTTATTAAAACGTTTTACATGTCAATGATGGGGAAATTGTTATATGTTGCTGTCCTCAGTTGAAAATCAGGCAGTTAAGGCTCTCACAAGGTGAGACAAGGAAGTCAGCTCAGGACTGGAATTCGACATGACATTTCCAGTGTCTTCCTCTTCCCCGAGAGCAAGAAAAGCATCCATGGGCCAAAAAGGGGCACAGTTTCCCACAGGGCAGGTGTGGCCTCAGGGGCACCAGGCAGAGAGCAGGTGACAGGGCTCTGTGAGCAGCTGGCTGGACAGAATGCAGAGTGTGGCCGTCAGGAGCGGCACTGCGGCAGCGTCCCCGGGCCTGAGTCCCAGTCCTGGCCCTTGCCAGCTGTGTGATCTTGGAAGCCGACTTGACCTCCACACATTATGCTGTGCTTATCCAAGTTGGAGATTAGAATGTGTTTACCTGGCAGGGCTGCTGTGAGCGTGAAATGAGATAATCGATGAGTAAGGAGACCAACATCTAGCACTCAGGAAACACTATAGAAATGTTGAGGTTACGTGACAACAGTGGGAATCAAAACCCAAAACCCTTCCCTCGCGTGGCTCTGGTGAGCTTAACATACACACGTATTCCCCTCCCAGCGACATAGAAGGTCTGAAACTTTTATGTCGGATACAAATAAATCTTCATTAAAGTATGAAACATTCCTGCCACAGTTCCCATGACCCAAACCCTAGAGATCTTTAGGGGCCACAGAAGTCTGACTTTTGTCCCAGGGTAGAGAGAAGAGAAAAAAATGAGAGGTTGGAGAAACCCCACAGAAAGCCGGCGGCAGGCGAGGAGGAGGAGTCTGCCTACCGATGGGCATTTAAAGTGGGCTGATGTATCACCTCTTCTCATTTTCCAGCGACTACCCCACTACCAAAGTGGAAAGGCCACTTTTCCCGGTGCCCCAGGAAGTACAAGCATTATTGTATCAAAGGGAGATGCCGCTTCGTGGTGGCCGAGCAGACGCCCTCCTGCGTGTAAGTGGGGCTCCCTGCCAGCAAGCAAAGGGGGTGTGGAGTCTCACACAGGGGTGCGGTGGGGCTGGGCAGTCTGACCACCGTGCCATCTGTCCAGAGGTAGTTCCACCCGGCCCTGCACCCAGAGGCATTTAGGTGCCGTTCAGCAGCCAGTTGTGGAGAGACTGACTCAAACTTTCCTGCTGAAATCCGAGCATGTGAGAATCCAGGTCCTCCTCCCGGCTGGGCTGTGTCCTGTGCTTCCCTGGCAAACAGAACTGCCTTTGCCCAGCCCTAAGGATGCATTTCAGCTCAGATGGTCTCCTGGGTGGTTCGGGTGGAAATGAATGCCTCTGGCCAGTGTTGGGTGGTTGGTAGTTAATGTAAAGATGAAGATATTCCTGCTGGATCAAGAGCCAGTTTTATTTATAAATGGAGATTAGCAAAGCTTGCTCACTACTGCAAGGTACTGGATAAAAGTTCTCTTTCCAACTCTTTGTAGTTAAGAGTCCAAGTTTAATTTTACTCAGGTGCTCTCAAAGCTTTACCCATCTTGTTTTTTATATATATATATATATTCTAAAGATATGTTATCTCTGAAGTGCCATCTGGTACTTGTACTCAGAGAAAAGAAAGATGATTCTTTTAAGCCCAATTTTGACCTCAAGTTCACAGAATGTTTGTGTTCTTTGAACACTTCCCAGTACACACTTTTCTGTAAGTATCTCAGAATGGTGATTCTAAACTCTGTGGAAACTTTAAGTCATGAGCTTTTTTGAAATTTAATTATAAATAATTCTAGAAAGCTATATGCATGGGAAATACTTAGCACAGGATAAGAATTGCTAACGCAAGAAAATAGGGCAACGTGTATGTGTATGGATGGGGAGAAGAGAACAGCTTTTTACAAATTTTTATTTAATTGCTCACTGGGTTGGGAACATACACAGACGATGCCCACAAAATGTACGCACATTTTAGGAAAGAAAATAACCACATTAAATTTGTAAATTACTCAAGTCACGTTCGACTTCTGCAATTACAAGAGGTGCTCGGCCTGGCTTGTGTTTATCTTTTGTTATCAGTAGATATTATTAAAATTTTAATAACTTTTTCTTTTCTTAAAGTGTGTACACTTTGGGGGGGCACTCTCTGTATTTAGTTTTGAAAGTATTAACGCTCTTTGACCCAGTAGCACATTTTTCTAACTGGTCCCTCTGTCCGCAGACGTACTGCTTTTTAACACTGCTGCCTTCTAAGTAAAAACTTCCGTGGTGAATCCATCTGCCTCACCAGCTTGTCCCCTTCAGTTTGAGGTTAAAACTGTTTCCGTGGCCCCCATAGTACTTCTGATCCTGCCTTAATTTACTGTGTCTCACCATCTTCCCGAACGTTCCTCTGAAATTGTACTTGCCCGCTCATGGCTCATCACACAAGCCCTTCTCACAGCGGGAAGGCTCCTTCTCACTGGAGGTTGGAGATGCATCTCCACGCCAGCTCCCCCAAGCCCTTCCGTGCCTTCCTCCGCCCCAGTGCACACCCAGCCTGAGTGACAGCTCCCTTTCCTGGCATCAGGTCACACTTCTGTGAAAGCTGTGACCCACTGGAGCACAGTTGTTGGTCTCTTGGCTTGTACCCTCTGTGACCGTGAGCTAGAGCACACGGCTGGTGGCTTATCTGTTTGTGTCCAATGCCAGACAGCCCCCAAGGTCGCTAGGTGTGTAGGAAGTGACTATGGGATGCTCAGTCGGGGCTCCTATGACAGTCCAGCTAAACAATCCATTATGTTTCCAAGCCAAGGCCTCCACAGCACCAGGGGCAGCTTCTTAGCAGTGGAATGATACAGAAAAAATAACAGGCAGGTGAAATTAGGCATAGATTTTAAAGTCAGATAGAAATAAGGTAAAATTTCTTTTCACCAATTATATGTAAGCAGTGTCAATGGGGGGTCACTTGCTTTTCCCAAGTCTCAGGTCTATCATCCATAAAAGGGAATAACAATACGTCCTTCTCAGGTGTTAAAGATCAAGCAAAACAATAAATACCAAACCACTTATGGTACCCGGCATGGGTAAGGGTTCCGTAATTGCACAATTGAGATAACGGTAGATATTTAGGCTGGGACTGAGCTTGCAGGTGGCTCAGTATAGCACAGATTCACGTAAAATGTCTTGTCAGTGGTGACAGTGCTATCTGGTGAAACCAGAAATATCTCCTTTTGCTTGAGATCATAGGACTTTGTAGACTCTTGTTTTTGTTTTGTTTTTTTTTTTGAACCCACCACCTCTGGCATATGGGGCCAATGCCCTACTCCTTTGAGCCACAGGCGCCACCCTGTGGACTTTTGTTTTCACATGAAAAATGAGTTGTTTCAAATATCTTGAATCCCCTGTTAGTCTCCTCAGTATTTTCTTGAAATAAAGATAATTTTTTTCAGATACATAATTTCATTTGTATATGCAGAAATTTCATTTAGCTGATCTTAAGAGCATGAACTTGGGGGCCAGACTGCCTGCATTTGAATCCAGGCCCCATTCCCGAAGCTTCTCTATGCCTCCGAGGTTGTTATAACAAGCTAGTTAATACTTCTAAATCTCCCAGAACAGTGGCTGGTGGTTGTTTTGTAACAGCAATCCCAAAGCCTGATTTGGGAGTGCCCTCAAGGCTCGTGAATACCTTTAAAAATTAACTTTGTTTTTAAGTTTTATTTTATATGATGTTTATGAAATAAAACCCATTTATTCACCATTTAGTAAACAATTACAGACTTTTGCTTCCTCTCTTTCTCTCTGATATGGGAGATGCATCCTCTGAAAATGACCATCAGCTGAAATGTCGCTGGCTGCTGAAGAGTGAAATAACCTGTGAGCCACTATCACCAGCAAGGCTAAGGCCTGACCTTCTAGCGTGGCCTCGCTGGGTGCCACTTGCAGGAAGGACTGTTTGCTGAGAAATTCAATTAGAGCACGGCTAAACTACTGAGCCCAGAGCTTATAATTAGAAAAACATTCTAAAGCAGCAGCACATAATTGCTGTGCATTTTATGGGTAAAGCTATTGTTTAAAAACACCATTCGTAGTAAGTTTTTAGAGAAATATTTAAGCTAATTGGAAGAGACCACATTTGTGAAATTTAATCATGACCTTAGACACTCACAAGAAGCATCTCCCTCCACTACCTGCAATGAAAAGTGATCCTCTCCCCACCCGGGATCCAGTCTTATGTGCACAGAGTTTTGATATTTCAAGATATTTGTAAGCTCTCTTCCTGTTATTTTGACCTTAGAATGAAGAAACTAGCTCTCTGTGGGAAGCTGCTGTCTCTTGGTCCTGGAGTCCTTTTACAGTAATTGGCTTTGGATGTCTTTCCCCCTTTGCTTGCACTGGGCCTCCCCTTCCTTGACAGCTGTTACCTGATGTGGTTTTTGTTGGTTTGGCTTTTGAAGAATTGTATCAACTTCAGTATCAGCATTAAGGGATCTCCATCCTGTAGAAATACAGGTGTTGTGGGAATTCTCCGCCTGGCTCCTGTCAAGCATAAACTGTAAAACAGCCTGGCAACAGGCCCCTTCTTAAGGAAAAATGGGGTTGCATAGAAATCTTCTCAAGAAGCAGAATTTAATCTTTTGGCATTTCAGCAATTATGTATGTGACTAGTAACTCCCTGTGTTTTGAGTACAGATGTCTGTGAGAATAAAGAAAAAATTTATTAATGCCAAGGTAATAATATTAAATAGATAATGTGGGTTAAAATGTCAACAAACTTTTTATATACCTTTTAAACTTCTGACACAATTCGGAGAATTCTATCGTTGTTCTCAAATCACTGAGCCATTAGGTCGCCAGCTGGGGCCCAGACAAGCTCCATCTACCTGTATGCTCAGATGGGGCTGGAGAGAGTGAGGGACAGGACAGCTTCGCTGGGGAGCAGGTGGCATTCTCGCCACTCTGCGTGAAGAGGGCTTTGGGGGAAAGGGAAGCGAGGAGGGACGCTGGGCAGACCTGCACAGGGGGCTTTAGGGATCCGACAGTGGACAGGAGGATACAGGGAAGGGACAGAACAAGACCCACTGTGTTTGGGGGAGGTCGGTGCATAGAAGGGTAATAGCAGAGTATCCCCTAATGTGGGGCCCCCTCCTCCCCCGCACCCCCTCTCCAAGTGGTAAAGCTGGAACCTGGGGGAAGAAGTTATAGAAAGAGAGACTCTGTAGAAATAACACTTTCTAGGTATTGGGCACTGGGTTATGAACTTCCAAACGCACGCCATGTTTAATCATGTGAAACAATGTAATTCTTATGTAATGTAGAAGAGGGCTTGGCCACATCCACTGTTTGCATTATCCTACCAAGCAAGGGAACATTCTGGAGATTTTTCAGTCCCTGGTTGTGGAGGTCTTTATGCACTGGGAATGCTGTGGAGGGAATTTCAGCATCTCCTCCTTTTTAAAGTCAGGGTTCAAAATTTTAAAATAAATTTCATGAAATTGTCATCATTCTTGTGTATTTAGTTATATCAATGTCCAAGTGACAACAAGTTTTCAGCAAAGAAAGTGAAATTCCTCATGAATAAAGTGGTGTACAGCTTTTTAAAAATAAAGCGTGTTCCATATTAATTAATTTCATTACTTAATTTCAAGTAAGGAAAATGTTAATTTCTTCAAAAAGGAAGTAGAGATTCCTAAAAGTCTAGCATTTTTGTTTGCCTTATTGCCCTCTTCTTATCTTATTTTTCTAGCTGTGATGACGGCTACACAGGGGCCAGGTGTGAGAAAGTGGACTTGTTTTACCTGAGAGGGGACAGAGCACAGATTTTGGTGATTTGTTTGATAGCAGTTATGGTGTTTTTTATCATTTTGGTGGTCGGTGTCTGCACGTGCTGTCAGTAAGTATTTTGAAACTTAATTTGAAGTGAATCTGAGAAATTGTCCTTTGCTCATTATTTGTTTTCCTTTGTTCTTTTTTTCTTACTTTCTACACTTTCTCTTTTGCTTTGACTTAAATAAATCTATTTTTTGAGGTTTGGCATCATTGATGTTGAAGTAGTTGTGATACAACACATAATACATGACTTTTTATTCTACTGATCACAATTATTATAACTTAAAGCAGAATTTGTAAAAATGTAGTTCTAAAACAGCAATCACTTAGTTCCAAAGTCAATTGCATTTTGTGTTTGTAACAGGCCAAGTAAGACTTTGGTTTCCTAAAACTGTGCTATGACATAATAATGTTCAAGGACAGATAAACACGTTTTTTTTTTGGCTTGGTCATACTGAAATAATAAATGTTATGAGCAAATCACGATTATGCTGTTTGTCCTGTGTTTAGTTTTCATTATATAACCCAACTTTGGACATCAAGAAACACCTCATGTTTTCCTGAGGCAGAGGGTCTTGGCACAGTTCGCACTAATTAGTTTCCTTTGAAAACCTGCCACATTTTTTTTAAATGTGGTCCCCAATTTTTTTTTTTTTT